CTTAAATCTTTGAGTTTTTCAAACACAAGGTGACTGTGATCATTTACTTCTGAATATTATGTGCCAAATCTATTCCATTGATCAACCACTCTATTTCTTATCCAATACCAGATTGTTTTAATGATTACTACTTTGTAGTATATTTTGAGATCTTGTATTCAAGTATTTGTGAGGCTGCTTTCCTTCACATATTTTTTCATTGATTCCCTTGATATTTTTTACCTTTTGTTCCCCAATATAAATTTTGTTATTATTTGTTTAGCTCTATAAACTAATTATTTGGTAATTTTATTGGCATGGTACTGCATAAGTAAATTAATTTAGGTAGAGTTGTCATATTTATATATTGGATCAGCTGACACATGAGCAATTAAAATTTCTCCAATTGTTTAGATCTGTCTTTATGAGAAAAGTGTTTCATAATTGTGTTCATATAGTTCCTGGGTGTGTCTTTGCAGGTATACTCCCAAGTATTGTATATTGGCTGCAGTTCTTTTAAATAAAATTTTTCTTTCAGTAGCCTCCTGCTGGATTTTGTTGGTAATAAAAAGAAATGCTGATGATTTGCATGGGTTTATTTTATATCCTGCAACTTTGCTAAAGTTAATCTTTCAACTAGTTCTTCAGTTGATTCTGTAGGGTTCTCCATCATAATTCCATCTGTAGAAAGTTATAGTTTTGATTGCTTATTGCCTATTCTTGTTCCTTTACTTTCTTTTTCTTGTTTTATTTTGGTAGCTGGTATTTTTAGAGTCCTCCCTCACTCAAATCCAATTCAATTGCAGGTCATGTCATCATCTCCCTGATGTCATGGTCCTCTTCCAGAATGAAAGACAAACCACAACCACACACAACAATGGGGATAATGGCCATCTTTGCTTCACCTCTGATTTTATGGGAAAGGCTTCTAGTTTATCACTACTACAGATAATGCTTGCTTTTGGTTTCATAGAAATACTGTTTATCATTTTTAGAAATGCTCCACTTATACTTATGTTTTCTAGCATTTTTCAAACTAGGAATACATGACATATTTTGTCAAAAAACTTTTCATGCATCTATTAATATGATCATGAATTTTATTATTTTTGATGTGGTCAATTATACTTTTATAGTTTTCCTAATATTAAACCAGCCATTCATGGTATAAATCCAACCTGGTGATAGTGTATGATCCTTGTGATTTATTCTTGTAATCTCCTTGCAAGCATTTTACTTGAAATTTCTGCATGAATATATCTATTAGGGAAATTGGTCTATAGTTTTCTCTTTGTTTTGCTCTACTTATTTGTACCATATTTGTATTATTGAAGGAATCTGATAGTACTCCTCCTTTGCTTGTTTCTAAAAACAGTTTGCATAATATTAGAATTGTTCTTTAAATGTTTGGTAAAATTTACTTGTAAATACATCTGATCCTGTGGTGGTTCCTCCCCCTGCCCCCAACCTTGGGAGCTCATTTAGGGCTTGTTCAACTTCTTTTTCAAAATTAGGGTTATTTAAGCATTTTATTTCCTATTCTTTTAATATGATCAATTTGTATTTTTATAAACATTTATTTCATTCAGATTGTGTTTTATTGGCATATAATAGGGCAAAATAGTTCCTATTGTTTTGATTTCATCTTCATTGGCTGCGCATTCACCTTTTCCATTTTTGATGCTAATAATTTGGTTCTCTTTTAAAGATCAAATTAGCTATGGCTTACCTATTGTTGTCCCCCATAAAACCAGTCCCTAGCTTTACTTATTAGTTTCATTTTAAAAAAAAAAACATTGTTTTATTAATTTCTTTGATTTTTAGGATTTCCATTTTGGTGCTTAATTGGGGATTTTTTTATTCTTTTTCTAGTTTTTTTTTTAGTTGTATGCCCAATTAATTGATCTGCTCTTTCTCTCCTTTACTTACATAAGCACTTAGACATAAAAATTTTCCCTAAGTACTGGTTTTGCTGCACCTCAAATTTTGGTATGTTGCCTCATTGTTCTCATTATCTTTAATGAAATTATTATTTCTGTGATTTATTCTTTGACCCACTCATTCATTAAGATTTCATTTCCAATTAATTTTAGTCTATGCTTCAAAGACCCATTATTGAATGTGCTTATTATGCTCTGAAAAAAGGTACATTTAATATTTTGTTTTTCTGCACTTGTTTGTGAAGTTTTTATGCCTTAATACATGGTCAGTTTTTGTGAAGGTGTCATGTACAGCTGATAAAAAAGGTAGGTAGACTCCTTTCTATTCCCATTCAACAGTCTCCAGAGGTCTATCATATCTAACTTTTCTTAAATTCTATTCATCTCCTTAACTTTTTTTTAATTTTATGATTACATATATCTAGATCTGAGAAGGGTAAATTGAAGTCCCCTACTAATATAGTTTTATTTTCTATTTCCTCCTGTAATTCATTTAACCTTTCCTTTAAGAATTTGGATGCTATGTCATTTGGTGCACTTTAGAGTTAATGTTCACTGTCTATGGTACCTTTTAGGAAAATATAGTTATCTCTTTTCATTAGGTCTATTTTTGCTTTTGCTTTGTCTGATATCATGATTGCTATCTCTGCCTTTTTTATGTCAGATGAAACATAACAGATTCTTATTTTGACTCTGTGTTTTTCTATTTCAAGTGTGTCTGTTTTAAACAACATACTGTTACATTCTAGTTACTAATCCATTCTGCTATCCTCTTCTATTTCCTGGGTGAATTCATCCCATTCACATTCATAGTTATGATTACTAACTGTATATTTCTCTCCATCCTATTCTCTTCTATTTATCCTTTTTTTACCATTACATCCTCAAAAGTCTGTTTTGCTTCTGACCACTGCCTTCCTTCCTTAATCTACCTTGTCTCACATCACACTCCACTCCCCCACCTCTTTCCCTTAGCCCCTTCTTCTCCTACTTCCCTGTTGTGTAAGATGAATTTCTCTACTCAGCTGTGTGTGTATATACATTCTTCCCTCTCTGAACCAGTTCAGATGAGTAAGGTTCATTCTGTGATGGACAGACTCCAAAGAGGTATTTTACTGCACTGAGTCAAATGTTTTCTTGGAATCAATGAATTAGAAGTGGAATCTTTAAATTCTCAACACCTCTGTCAGTTATGTGAATGTCTGTATGTGATTAACTGTATACATCTGTAAAAGCTAGCCTATTCCCTTTTCATGTTTTATCAAGTTTCCCCTCTATGTATGTTCTCATCAAGACTTTATAAAGATCACAAAGCAGTTGTATGGGTTGGTGGTTGTTCATGTATTTTTGGTCCCTTTTTGGGTAAAAGTATCATTCATAATCTTGTCAATTCAATAAACACTTATTAAGCATCATCAGAGATGTTACAGAGGAGATTTATACATCAGGTGGGTCATTGGGCTTCATAATAACTATTATCCTTGGGCAGCTAGGTGGTGCAGTGGATAGGGCACCAGCCCTGAAGTCAGGAGGACCTGAGTTCAAATCCAGCCTCAGACCAAACACTTGACACTTAGTAGCTGTGTGACCCTGGGCAAGTCACTTAACCCCAATTGCCTAAATAAATAAATAAATAAACTACTATCCTCTCCAGTTAGTCAATAAACATCCTGAGTTCAGATCTGGCCTCAGACATTTACTAGCTGTATGACCCCGGACAAGTCACTTCACCCTGTTTGCCTCAGTTTCCTCATCTGTAAAATGAGCTGCAGAAGGAAAAAGCAAACCACTTTGCCAAGAAAACCCTAAATGGGATCACGAAGAGTCAAACATGATTGAAAAACAACTCAGCAAAAGCAGCAACATGAGCACTGAGGATACAAATAACAGCAAAAAACAGCATCTGTTTTCAAGGAGCAAAGTATAATGAGGGATACAGTAGTAACTCAGTGGGAGATTGTGTGGTCCAGTGGAAATAACAGTGTCTGGCTCAGTCACTTACTGCCCACTTACTTGGCCAAGTAATTCAATCTCTTTGAACCTCAGCATCCCCTGCTGTGAAAAACAAGGCTTGGACTCAAATGTCTTCTAAGATACTTTCTAGCTCAAGACATATCACCTTATGAATTAATATTTTTGTAGCTTTAATATCTACGTGGGGCTTTACTTATGACAAACCTATGAGGTAGGCACCATTTTACAGATGAGTAGATAGACTCAGCAAGGTAACTTGCCTATGGGCACAAAATCAAGTGTTGGAGCCAGGATTCAAGCCCAGGATGTCTGACTCCAAGTCTGGTACTCATCAGCCACCACCCTAAGATTCTTTCTTCTCATTCTGACTTGGCAAGTTAGGAAATGGAAAGTGACCATTACCAACTGGTGAACTCTTACATTCTTTAAACTTCCCTTAATATTTTTTTCTTTTCTTTACTGGTCTATCGTATCCTCCTTTTCTCACAAGCAGAGTCTCTCCCCTAACTTTATAGTTCTGTTCCATATTGCTCTTCTCACACTCTCTTCCAAAGTGTCCTGTCAACTGTTTTCAACATACATCTTATGTCTTCAACCTTCCAGCCTTTCTCCAAGTAGTCTTCTAAATGCCTTCTCATCTCCACCTCTTAGAATCACTTCCTTCAAAGTATAGCTCAGTTGTCAACACTTATGAGGAGGACTTTCCTGATCCCCGCAGGTCTAGGCTGCCCTCTCCCATTCTTCAAGTAGTTTTATATATATTTTGTGTTTATTTATTTACGTACATATATCCCAACAGGAGAATGAAAGTGCCTTGAGGACAGGTATTATTTTGGTTTTGTATATATCCCAATATAATTGTTAATTGAATTGAACTGATTTAAATAAGACCTTTTGGCACTAGGATGATAATATACTCTTTCTCCTTTAAAAAATGTGATGATTGTTGCTAATAAAATGCAAAAGCTATAAAGCCTCATATAAATTATTCCAACATGCTTTCTTTTGAAGAGCATGATTTCATAATTCACCATCAGAGTTTCAGATCTAGAATGCAATATATTTTCAAAATAAGTAATTCAAAACTCATGTTTCATTTTTGGGCAGATATGAATTAGGAGCAGCTTTGTTCATTGGATGGGCTGGAGCTTCACTTTGCATAATTGGTGGTGTTATATTTTGCTTCTCGATATCTGACAATAGCAAAACACCCAGGTAAGAAGTGCAGACAAAAATGATCTATTTGAAAAGTCCAGAATCATTCTAATCCCAGCTCTGCAGTTTACTACCTGTGTGTGTTACCATAGGCAAATCTCTTAACTTCCCTGGGTCTCAGTTCCAATCATCAGGCAAATGAGAAGGCTTGGGCTTGATGAACTCTAAGTTCCCTTCAATACTTCTGAATCTGTGATACCAGGATTCTAAACTACATGTGTGAAAAACAAATTTTAAATAGTTAATATAGTTCTCGAAGAAAAACTTTGCAGAATCCGTTTTGGAAAGGTTGCATATAAGGAGACAAGAATTTTAATAGATTTGCTTGGCAGGGGGCACCCTCAGTAAATCATACTATATACTTAAAACTTCATTGGAAAACTGTGTTCCTGAAATTATATATGTTCAGTTGTGTACTGTGTAAACCTTTTAAGAACAGTATTGATATAAAGGTTACTATATGTTAACATACAAAAATAGTCTTAAGTGTGAGTACACAGTGAAGAAATGTCCCTACAGGGATAGGTTCTGGTCCTGAACTCTCTATCCCTAATCTAAAGGGTCCAGTAATCTTTCCTACTTCCATCAACCTTCCACAAGATTGGTAAGAGAGATTCTCTGGTCAAGATGTCAACAAACCCTTCTCCTCTTAATTCAAGCAAAACAAGGTCAAGATGGAAAAGACTTACTTAGGATTTAAAGGAAACAACAGACAGAGAGGTTGTTAAATCATAGCCATCATTTAGGCCTGACCAAAACTCATTTTTCACAACAGAGACAGAAATCGTTGATAGGAATTGCTAGTGTCTTCTTGACTATAAGATGGATGAAGTGTGCTTAAGAGTTGGGAAAAGAAGAGGCAAGAATGTTAATAAACACCAATGAGAGATCCTCAAATGCTTGCTGGATTTCAGTATTATACAGAAATATCAAGGAAAGATGATCTGAAGGAGGGAAATAACTGTCTCCCCTCACCCCCCCATGCCCCAGATATATGTCATAATATGCAAATTTGTTTTCTTGCCTTTCAGAATGGCATATGCGTACAATGGACCTACATCTGTTTTATCATCTCGGACAAAGTACCAGAGTGGAGAAGGAGATTTTAAAAACACAAGCTCTTCAAAACAGTTTGATAAAAATGCTTATGTCTAAATAGCACTGCTACAAATCACAAATCCAAGTTTGTCATTAAAATGTGAACTGTTCATAGAATGATTTCCATCAAGGTTCCACTGTAATTAACACAAGCTATTTTTAAAATATGAATTGTAGCATTAATGATTTTATGGATGTAAATTTTCTTACATAGTTATGTACTAATCGTTTTCTGTTGCGGCTTTCTTATAAAAAAAATAAACAGGTTTACTTACCAGGTATTTTAATTGATCGATTATAATACCTAAAATAGGGAATACTTTGTTAAATACAGGTTAGCCCATACATATAGTATTTTCAAGTTAACCTTCCAAGTGGCTTAAATGATGAAAGCTTTGGCTTTCTATTCATTTAAAATAGAAAATTGAATGCACCTAAAAACTCAACTACTTGAAGCCAGCTCCCATCCCCAAACAGTAAGTGCTTAATATTGTTATTTATTGCTCCTTCTTCTTTCTCGAAGAGGACCAATGACATCATGAGGGTGGTGTCTTGACTTGCCATGAATTGGATGTAAGTGCTTTAATATGAGTCTGTTGAATTGAATCAAAGCTGATCACCCATTGGGGAGATCAGAATTTGTTCCAGAACTGTTCAGACTAAATGGGGTAGAAGCCAGTGACTTACAGGCCATTTTTATTGTTTCTCACCACCTATCAAAACAGTGACACAGATTAGGAAGGTTGAGAAGAAGGAACACTGATATTGGAGTGGAAATGATCTTGACCAAAATCTCACTGACACTTAAGTCTTATATCGTTTCAGGGGACTTTTCTGATAATCTGTACAAGTATAATGCTCAGGGGTGAACTGTAATAAAGGAATAATAATAATAATGATAACTAGCATTTATACAGCACTTAAATTTTGCAAAGTAGATATTATCATCTACCTCACAAGGTTGTTGTGAGGATCAAATGAGATAATAGTTGTAAAGTGCTTAGCAGAGTTACTGGCATGTCGTAGGTGCTAGATAATGACTTTACCTCATTTTATCCTCACAACAACCCTGAGAAGTAGATGCTATTATTATTATTGTTCCCACTATACAGATGAGGAAACTGAAGCAGACAGAGGTTAAGTGACTTCCCAGGGTCACACAGCTAGTAAGTGTCTGAGCCTGGATTTGAACTTAGGTCCTGATTCCAAGTCTAGGGCTTTATCCCCTATACCACCTAACTGTGGGGGTAGGAAATAATGGTCTAGTTAAGTCCCAATGAAGGTTCTAGAGGCTAAATTTAGGTTTGCACCCTTCTTCACCAAAATACAGACACACCGGAACTCTCCTTGGGTCTTATGTAACTGGAAATATGTGACTGAACACTTTGAAGAGCTAGACTATGAGATCACTGAAGCAAGAAGTGAAGAAGGTAAGATTTCTGAACAAGACAAAATGATGGTTCAGTAAACGGACATTCAGATCATCTACTACACTTAGTTCCATGCAGTGGTCAGAAATTTGTACAGGAGGTATTTGTGAATCATTTGATACAGAATAATGACCACAGCGTGATTACACTTCTAGGGAGGAGAGGGAAAAAATTAATTATATTTCTGAGTAGATCAAGTGAGTGACTGGAGAAGTAAGTGGAGAAGACTCCATTTGAAAAGATGCTTTATAGAAACTGAGCTAGCTCGGGATTGGGTGAAACATTTCTTCATAAAAAGAAAACTGGCTTAAAGCCACATGACAAAGAATAGGAGCCAAGGACCAGTTTGTGAACCAATGACAATTTTTTTCTTATGTGGCCTGCATAAAAGAGTACAAAGTGAAGTTTATTAGTCTGCAGATGATGCTTAGTTCTCTTGAGTCCAGAAAAATATCACAAAGCTTTGTGAAGGAAGAGAAATAAGTTAGACAAGCATTATTGGAGGTAACTAAAGTAATGATTTAGGGGAAAAGAATCCAAACTCTACAGTTACTGCTCTAAGCTATGAGCTAGCCCATGAAAGGTATCTGAAATTGTACTGTTCTACCATGACAGGTAAACACTAGATGAGTCCACAAGGAGCTTGAATTTTGAAAAATTTGAACCTTGAAGCTTGAAAGATAAATTAAGACAAACAAAAGGAATTTCTTTAGTTACAGACCAAGTCTTCAGTATATAAAACTCATTTTCCCTAAGCAGTAAAAAAATCTAAAAGTTAAAAGAAGATTGGGAACTTTAAGATACAGTCAATAAGGAATTTCATGTAACTTAAATAGGTTGTTAATAGAAGTTGAGGATTTCAGGGCAGCTAGGTGGCGCAGTGGTTAAAGCACCGGCCCTGAAATCAGGAGGACCTGAGTTCAAATCCAGCTTCAGACCAAACACTTGACACTTACTAGCTCTGTGATCCTGGGCAAGTCACTTAACCCTAATTGCTTTAAAAAAAAAAAAAAGAAGTTGAGGATTTCTCAGGTCGAGGTCATGAAGAACAATTATGTCCTCCCAAAAAATGTCCTTTGGTGTTACTGCAAAGGACAAAACATAGGTCTTAATATTTAACTATTATTGTGATCCATTAATGGCCAATCACATTTTTATGTACCATATAGACAGATGGCTCACACTATTCTCTATAGCAAGAGAGGAAGTGAGAATACCTAATCACTGCCAAAAAACATTTGAATTCTAACTTAATAATCTTCCATTTCACTGACTGAAATTTGCTAGTAAATTTCATAAGCAATGAGTACACAAAGGCAGAAAATATGTATCTGGAGCATACTGATACATAAATAAAAACTATAAAGCAGGTCTTTGAGTAATTTTAAACAAACCGAGTATGAAATGTGAAATTCAGATTTATAACTCCTTCATAAGTTTTTATGGGAATCATATAAGAGATTTAAAACTGGAAGAGATCTTGGAGGTCACATAGTCCAACACTTTTGTTTTACAGATTTGGAAACTGAGAGACAGGGAGTTGAAGTGATTTGAGCTTGTTTGGTATTATATGGCAGGGCCAGTGTTTGAATTTAGGTCTTTAGATTCCAAATCCAGAGCTCTTTCTACTATACCCTACTGGTAATAGATTATTTACTTTATCAAGAATTCCTACAGGATTCTTTAAATAGTTTCTCTAGTGCAAGGGTCATCAGCCTTTTAAATTGGTATACCAAAATTCCTTTACCTCTTTCTTGCTGGGAGGGATGGGGGAAGCAAAATAATGTTAAGTCCTAATTCTCTCCATGTTGGTTGGAGAGAGGCTAAAGATGTTGGGCATACTGTCAGTTGCTTATCTCTTCTAGTAAATGAAAAGTTTGATTCAATTTCTATACAACTATTTCTGTTCAACTTTTCTGGAACACATCTATCATGTAAGGTGAAGTACAGCAGTATAATATGTCTACTATGTGAAATCAGAGGCAATTTCTTAAATGGGGATGGGGATGGGCCACAAAGAAGACGTTACAAAGGATAACTCCTGATTGTAATTCTAACATCACATCACAGTATTTGCTTGTTATGATAGTTGAATACCTCCTTTTCTGAATTCCGAAATAAAAACTGTTTGAATAAAAAATAATTGATCTGTAAAGAAGTAGGTTAGATATATCCATAATAATTCAAGCCCAGTCACAGTGATACAATGTAGGATTTTACTTGAGAGGATTACAATTAAAGAGAAAATAAAATCAAAACCTCAACATAGCCATTTAATTGAAATGTCTCTGTTTCAAAATACACAAAGTATCTTTAAAAATGCTTGCTTCTTGAGTGTATAAAAATGCAAAAACAATTGATATGAATTTTCTGGCCTCTGACAAGTGTCATACTGGCAAGAATAGAACTTAATTTGTTGAAGTTAGGTATTTTATAATACAGGATTGCTGTTAAAATAAAAATATAGAAAGTAAAAAGTAAATAACCACAAATATACATATGAATTTAGTAATGACTTTGTCTTTTCTAATAATATTATTAGGCAACTTAATTAGCCATTTAAAAAGTTACAGTTTACTCACAAAATATCCAAAGTGGGTACTATGATTCAGAAACAGCATTTCAGGATATGTTAAGATGAATGTACTCATTGTAAACATGCTTAAAATGTCTCAATGCTGCACACACTGATAGTTCTGGTTACAATTCTTCAACTGAAAGTTACTCAGGCCTATAAACACATACACATACGTAGCTATATTTTGGTAATTTTAGAATTAACCAGTCTAATATTTTAAGTATTCATTACTGTTATTTGGTTTAAAAGATTAACCCAAGCAGAATTGTGAAATTTAACACACAGTGAGAAACAAATTATGTAAGAACTTAAATTACAATATGAAAATGTCATTACTTTCAACAACAAAAAATCCTGTGTGGGTAAAAGGTGTTTAAAAAATGGCTTTTAAAAATTATTTGAAAAAAATACGCTAATACTCGAGTACCATTATGAAGAAAAAATGTTTTATGCATTAATTGACAAGTTTGTTTTTTTTTAAACAGCAAATTTTTTTTTAACACTCTTATGCTTCAAAACACTGTTGGCTTATCGAGTTGGTTTTTCAATAAACACTTACATGCCATTAAATATACCTTTGCTCTCTGAATAAGCTTCCTTGTTACTGTGAGAAATATGATAAGGCATGAGAGTTAGAACCATGTGGGCAGATTACTGAAATCAATATTGGCACCAGGGAGTCACATCTGACAAGGTATGGTAGTTATATATCAGAAGAGTCACTCCAGTCAGTTACAGTTACTAAGCTGCTTTTTAATGTACTTGTATCAGCTTCTTGAAGTCCTGTTGATAAAAAGATCAAAGATAAAGAAGACAATTAAATAAATACCAGTAAAAAGCCAGTTTTCTATTCTAACTCTTCAGAGAAAATGAAGTGAAAATTATTTCAGTGACTGAATTTATGTTGAATCCAAGAATATCTGTTTTGGAGATTTTTTTTTTGTCTTTTTTTTTTTAAATCAGCTGCAAAGGTTTAAAAAGACCCAAATACTCAAATGGAACTTTATCTTATACATATGGAAATTCCCTCTATCAAAAAAGATGATAAGAAGATATTCATATATTTCTAAGTTTCTATTCCAGGATTCTATAATTGTGGATGGTTAAGAATAAGTATCAGGGTTAGCCAAATAAACTAGTGGTTAAGAGTGGATTTTTCTAAGTTATTCTATTTCATCTTAGAGTAATTTCCACACTGTTGTGAATCAAAGCAATGGTGCTGGGCAGGAAATGCTGCAGGGATTAATAACATGCTTCCACTTAATCTTTTCAGCTAAAGGTAAAATTCTAAGAAAACAAAAATGATTCTCAACAGCAGCTAAACTGGCTAGTCTACAGGTGAAAATATTAGACGGCAAAAATCATCTTAGTCAACAATAACAATTTCAAGTTTTCAATTAAATATGCAAAAATATTCTCAAATCCATAGTCAAATGGTAACTAAGGCATATTAAAATGTTATAAAAATAAAACCCTATTTATAAAAAGTGTGAAGGGCTAAGGATGCTTCAGGGCCATGTGGGAAAGCAAAAGCA